CCCCAAAACCCCAAAACCCCAAAATAATGTAATCTGACTTCTAATTTGGAATTAGTTTATATTTATTTGCTTAATTATGAAAAAACAATAACACTATAACGCTCATCCATTTGATCTAAATGTAGAGATTTTGAATCAAATCAAGTAGCTTTTTCCTGAGAACAGAGAAAGCCATAGAAGCATAAAGAAGTGTGAGACTGTTAAAGGTGTCAAATTTGGGGTAATTAAAGTAATTTTATTCATTTTAGAATCTAGAAACAAGCCTCGTTAGAATATTGCATTAAGAGCCTAGCTATGTGAGGAAACTAATGTAAACACTTGATCATATAGACGAAGATAAGGTCACTTGGGCAGAATTCATGAATTGGCTATCAAAGGAAGGAACTATAAGAAATATTGCAAATGATCAAAGACTTTATGCATTTACTATTACTAGAATTGAAGAAGAATAGGAATATTTGATGCGTTAGATGCAAGTTTAGAAACTTGCATCATTGAATGTGGAAGATAATTTCAATTTTGTTCTTCTTGTGTATGAAAATAGAGAGGTTGTCTTAGCATCTTAGAATGATCTAAATCATAAGGTATTCCAGTTCAAGTTCTCCTCCAGATATTAAAAACCTAAAAGAATATCTGAGTATCCACTCTATAAATAGAGAAAGATGCGACCTTAATCTGCAGCAAATTACAGCCAAAGCAACTAAAGCAGAAGAATTGGTAATATGAATCCTGCAAGAAGAAGATTTCAATAAATTTAAGAAAGCAATATGAAAATTGAAATTTAAAATTTGGAGAATGATCTAGTAGAATTGAAATCAACTAGTTCACGGAATGTTGGACTTAACTCAAAAACATCTCTTAATAGAGATGACTTAAAGGAGGGGAAAATAAAGTAAAAAATTGCACATTATTTTAACTTTGCAACTATAGTATGTATCATACGATGGATACAACAAATCATGACCAATCTTTGATTTCACCAAACAAAAATTCTGAGATGATGAATATGACCATTGGCTTTAATAGTAGTGGATAAAAATCTGAAGAAGAACTATCAGTTTCGACATAATCAAAGTACATAATCTAAAACTTAAATTATTGTAGAAACAATAGAAGGAAAGCATATGATTATAACATTAGTAGAAAAGCTAAAAAGATAAGACCATACCAAGTATTGGGCATTACGGATACTACTTAAGAAAATGATGAGATAAGAGAACTTCTCAAGATGTAGGAGTAAAATTAGATTGATAAGGGAAAAAAGAATCTGTACTTTCACACATTTGGAATTGATGATAGGCTTTTCACTCCAAAACTTGAATAAAATAAAAACAAGAGGAATTTCTAAGGACTAATGAAGGTAATGGAAAATATCATAGAAGAATCAGATACTAAACTAAACAATATGAAGATATTAAAGAAATATAGAAACAGTATGTTACAACCACCTTAGTACTAAATAAATGCTAGCACTATTACTATTAGTAATAATGAGGAATCTATCGATCATAACAGTATTGCACTCTAAAAATTCCAGAGTGCTGCAAATAGAAATTAGTTGTCTATATCCAAAGAGTAGAGCTTTATCTCTAACGCAAAAATTTTAGCTTTATCATAAAAGAAAAGTGTAGATGTGAATCAATTGACGAAGCATTTATCTCTTCACTTTAAACAAAATCTAGATAAAAAGCAATAATAACAATAATAGTCAAATGATCAAACTAGAAATGAACGATTCTCATCCTTGAATGCTAGGCAGAGTAAGAATGTTAGGAATGCAACTATGATAATCTAGGGAGGAAAAAGTACTTATAGATAGGATTAGGATCGAAACAGTTCCATAAGTTGAGAGGTTAGCAACAGACCATTAAATTATCTATCTAGAATTACCTCCAACAGTTAAAAGAGATAAGATAATTAATCAGAGTAGCCAGTAGATATAGGATTAGTGGACCTGGATGAATTGCGAAAGGATATGCTCTGCAGGAAGACTGAGTTTTTGTAGAAAAAGTTAGGCAAAATGGAACCAAGAGTAGGAAAACTGACTGAACTCACTAAATACTTTGTAAAGGTTGCTGATTCCTGCCCATTAGCAATTGAATAGAACAGAAAAAATAAAT